GAAGGGAGGGCAGGGACAAGGGGAAAAGAGGGGAATCAAGACCTATTATGTAAAGGTACAGGACCCCAATGATGAATGTAACTGTATTGTATACCTAGATTGCACCAATAAACTCAATAAAAAGAAAAAAATAGAAGAAAAAAAAATTAAATTTTATAGTATTCTCTACATTTCCCCTAAACAACTGAAGTTATTATACATAAAAGGCTTTCCAACAGAGCTTTGGTACACAGAGAGGGAAGGGGGATGAAGTGGGGAAAGTAGGATAAAATAAAACAAAATTTATTTAAAAAGGAAAAAAAAAAGTTTTCCACACTACAAAGTATGGTAAATAGGGCTGAGGATTTAGCTCAGTGCTGCCAAGCTTGCCTCTCAAACACAAGGTCCTGAGTCCAATCTCCAGCATTACCCCCACAAAAAATTGTAACAAATAAAATGATTAGACATTTTCTCTTTCTCAACTAATACAAATAATTATTACACAATACTGATAAAAGTAAACTTTTTCAATTCAAAGCAAGCCCTCCTCGGTTCCCTCCATTCTTAAAAAGACATGATTACAGTAGCAGCCCTACAAAGTCATAAGCTAAAACAGTTACTCACTGGAAAATATGATGGACCAGTTCAAAAACTAATTCAGAAGATCCTTGCCTCCAAGTGACAACATAGTTGTTAATTAAAAAACATGAAGTCAGTTTTTCTAAAATTCAGTCATATAAATAAGCCTAAGTAACAAAGCTACACATTTTTAATTCTAACTCATTATTGTTGTTGGCTTTTTGAGACAAGTGTCTTGCTATGTAGTTCAGGGTGGCCTTGAAATCATTATGTAGCTCAAGCTGGTCCTGAACTCATGATGATAGTCCTGCCTCGGATTCCCAAGTGCTGAGATTATAGGTGTACCACCACACCTGGCTTATTAGTTCATTTTAACTTTACAACAAAAAAACCCCAACAAAACCTGATTCCCCATTTAGAGTAGTAAGAGCTTCATTTGCAATAAATATAATTTTTTTGCATAAGAGTCAATTTAAAGAAAAATTAAATTTACAGGGCATATATTTGAGAAAAGCACTTAAGTGGTACAGATTTGAGAAAATCATGAGGGTATGATGTGAAGGGCTAAAATTGAAATGCTGTAGGTGGTGTCTGCCAGGAAAAAAAGGGTTGCCACCGAAGTCATGTGCTTGGCTAAGAACCATACACTATTTCATTCAATTCTTAAATAATCTATTACATTATGAATTTGCATATTTTAATGATTTGTTTTGTTTGCTTTGGTTTCTAACTATGCAGTTCAGGATGGACTGGAAGTCATGTAGCCCAGACTGGCCTCGAACTTACAACAGCCCTCCTGCCTCAGCCTCCCAAGTACTAGAATTACAGGCATGTGCCACCACGTCTGGCTGAGTTTGCATGCTTTAGATTAGAAAACTAATATTTGTCACAAATGCTAAGGACTTGCCCAAGGTCACCAAGGTTAGTAAAATGGCACAGCCGAGGTTAGAACACAGACTCAAACCTCTCTGTTCTCATCCTCATCTATGTGCCATCCCATCTCTCATCTAAAGGTGAGGCTGAAGAAGACCTGAAATTAATCTCTTCACAGGAGACACAGACACACGTGCTCTACGTGCAGCATGTCTGCTGGCCATATAACGAGAAGTTACAGCAATCAGTGTGGCTTCAGGAACAAGCTATGCTGAGCAAGAAAACACTATCAGAAGAAAGAGTACTCACTGTGACCTATCAAGAGAAAGAACAAAGCAATAAAACTGTTAGGATCACTGAGCTCCTCCTGTTCCTTACATCCATATATCCTTGCTCTGTGTATCCAGGAACATCTGATGACACTTAACTAGGAGCCCAACAGAGAACAAAGCCTACTTCTGAAACAGTTATCTTATGGCCTATCTGCTTGTAGAGAAACAAAAGGTATGAAAAACCCACGCTACTGGTGGATCTCAAATGTTTTTGGATCCCAACTGCATCTGACATATAAAAGCACAGGAGTCAGGGGCCTTAGTGAAATATTAGACCCTCACATGACTATGGGATCGAGAAATTTAAAGAAGTAAATTTTAGTAGAACAAGTTAAAGAAAAGAAGTACCTTCCTTCCTCTGGACACCGTGAAACAACTCTGTATTATGGGAAACTGGAGAATATGTACCTGAATTCATTTAGGGCATCAACTATTCGATTATATGCCAAACTCCTCTGACTGGCATCGGCTGATCTCCGGCTCATTTTCATAGCCTTGAAAACAATCATTACACAGTTAATTCTTTTATGAATCACAATCAAATCATGGAAAGAAATAAAAAGCCACATATTATACAACACTACCAACAATCTAATCTAGAAAGGAATAAAAAGATAAGACAGATTTACAATAGCTTTTCCTTCTATATCTTTGGACATTAACAAGTACCAAAAAATTTACATTCTTCAACTATTACATCTATTATAATTGTCACACTGTAGAATGACAACAAAAACTGATGTTGACAGTCTCTGGGTTACCAGAAATTCCCCTTTTCTAAATACAACAAGACATAATAACAGTTTATGGTTTTACTCTTATATCTCATAGATATTGCTTCTTTTAGGACTTTCTTTTTCAAAATAATACTACAATATAAAAATTCTGCTGACAGACATCTCAAGTTATTTCTCTTATTTGCTTCTTTACAAATATATTTAAGCCAGGCATCATGGCACACCCCAGTACTTGAGAGGCTGAGGCAGGAGACTCACTACAAGTCTGAGGCCAGCCTGGGCTACAAAGAGTTCAAGCCCAGTCAAAAAAAAAAAAAAAAAAAACCTAAAAAAAAATTTAGCCCCAGTTAAAAAAACCTTAGACCAAAGAAAAAAAAAAAAAAAAAAAATCACCTAAAAATACATTTAGCCCCAGTTAAAAAAACCTTAGACCAAGAAGATAAAAAGAAGACCAGAATATGCAGGCAAAAACAAGCACTTTGCAACTTTACTTTTTGAAATAAATTTTTTATGTAATTACAAACTGAGAATCTTTAAGGAATATATTTTAAAAGTTAAGACTACTTTAGGCCAGGGATCAAGTTTCAGAAGATAACAATGAAAATTTTTGTTTTACAAAACTGTTAAGAATTAACACTCATAAATAAATGAATATTCTTTTTATGAAATTAAGGAATGGTTCTCTTTAATATTATCAGCAATATTTTAAAGTTACAGTATAGCTCTCCACAAAAATGGCACAGACTTTAAAATACTTGCAATGCTGCTCAAAAGCAAAATTCATAGCTTTTTGTTTGTTTCATAGCTTTTATTAAAGAATCAAAAAGAGTAGTTTAAAAGCTGCCCCGTCTCGCAAGCACAAGGACATGAGTTCAATCCCTGATACAGGGGTGAAAAAAAAAAACCTGCTGCTAAAAGTTAACTTCTTTGGATGGCCCAGTGTTTTCCACATTTTATCATTAACTTTTTTTTTTTTTTGGTACTGGGGATCAAACTTGGGTCCTTGCGCTTGAGAGGCAGGCAGCAGAACCAATTATCATTAATTTCTATAGAACTTTTTAAATTAAGTTTTCACTCATGTAAAAGCATTCATTTTTATGTCAGCATTAATAAAAAATTTAAAATGTCAGCTTTAATAAAAAAATGAGTATTAAACTTGAACAAATATCCAGAAAACTGTATTAACATACACTTCAAGGTTAGACAGTGGTCAAAGCACTACTAAAACATGAAAACACTTAAAAAGCAATCTTTAAATGAATTCTACAAAGTGCCTCTAAAGTTTGATAAAAGCTTTAAATATTAAAAAAAAAAGCTTTAAATATTTATCCAAATAATTCAAAATGTTTCAGTCATAAGAAACATGGGTGGCGACTCTGGCATCAACACACTACAAAATAAGACGGCAGCCAACTGAAAAAATATGATCAGTGTTTCACTTAAGATAAATGCAAATAAGTGCCGGGGATTTAGCTCAGTGGCTCTGGCAAGCGCAAGGGCCTAAATTCAATCCCTGGTATCAAAAAAAAAAAAAAAAAAAAAAAACCCACAAGATAAATGCAAATGGTTTCCCTTGGTGTGCTAAGGACATCAATTTTTTTGCTGTTGTGCTATGTCCAATTTTCAAAGCTTTATGTTTAAAATATCACACATATCCTTCAAGATAAAATCTAAAATGTAACCTTTTCCCCCAAAAAAATTGTTTTTATTTCTTCTAAACTCTGCCTGTTCTTAAGCTCTATTTCGTATTTCAAGTAATCCTTTAATATCATGTATGTTTATTTGTTTATTTGCCACCCCATGAAATCAGGAGTGCTGTTTTTTTTCTCTTCGGTTGCTAGAACACTCCTGTTACACTACAGGTCCAAAAACTTTAATTTCTGAATAAACAGACTTAGATTTTTTATTAGACAACAAGCTCTTTGAAGAAGGCTGAATCTATATGCATCTTCCAGATTACATGTAAGGCACTGTCACTGTGGCTGTTAATTCTTCTGCCGAATGAACAAACACGATGCTCAATCAGAATAAAATACAAAGAAAAACAATCTAAACATATGAATAACTATGCTTACCTGTTCTATTGCACTCTTTAATTTGTTCACATGGCTTTCAAAGAGAGGAAAATGTGAAAAAAAGAATTCGTTAAATTTGTTATTTTCATCTTCATCTTTGGATAATGAAAAGATTACTCCAATTGCAATCTTCTTTTTTCGTACAATTCCTGGGTTAGGGCCACAGCTTTCATCTGACAGATTAAAGCTTTCTTCTACAGACCTTAAAAATAAACGATTTTTAAAATTTAAAAATATAAAAGTAAATAAATTCTCACTTCAATCTCCTTCCTAATTAAATATAGGCAAGCTAAAGCTAAAGGTCTTTTTCTGTTTCATCAAATACATCTAAATTTTGCTATCAAATGTATCTCTTTGTGAAATCTACTTAGTATTCTTACTTGCTCATGCGATTAGTCAGATTATAAATAGAAGTTGTTAAAGAAGATAATCCAAATTCATAAGCTAAAAATGCTTATATTATACTGTTTTCAGATGACTATGGTACAATCTATTCAATGTTTTAGGATCAACTTGTCTCTCCTTTGGAGTACATAATTAAAATAAAAAATGAAGGAATAAAGTCATTTAATGAGGAAACACTAATCTACAGGTGTACTTAATGTATACTAACTCCTGGGCTACATAGTGAGTTTAGGGGCAGCATGAATTACAAAGTGAGAACCTGTCTCAAAAAACAAAAACAAACCGAACAAAAGAATAATGTCAAAATAGAAATATGAAAAATGTGAATGTCAAAATGTGGTATACAGTTAAAGATCTAAACATAAAGCTCTTATAAAAGAAAAGCAGCATAAAAGTTTCATGACATTGGATTTGGCAAAAATGTCTTGGACGTAACACAAAAAAAACCACAAGTTAAAAAAAAAGGAAACAGAACTACCTAAAAATGAAAAACTGGGCTGGGATTTAGCTCAGTGATTCCACTGCCTGCTTTGCAAGCACAAGGTCCCGAGTTTGATCCCCAGTACCAACAAATAAAGAAATCAATAAAAATGAAAAATTTTAGTACATTAAAGGATACCATCACCAGAATGAAAGGCAATCCATAGAAGAAATTATCTATAAATCTTGTAATTGGTGAGGTATTAATATTCAAAATCTATAAAGAAATCACTTACAAATCAATAACAAAATAGACTTGATTTAGAGAATGGTCAAAGGACTTGAATAGACATTTCCAAGAAAATGGTGTACAAATGACCAATAAGCATGTGAAAAGATGCTCGGTACCAGTATAATCACCAGGCAATGCAAACTAAAATCACTTCACATCCATTAGGATGGCCCTATAAAGAAGTGGGTGGTGATGACTGAGAGTGAAACTCAATGGTAAATCACCTGACTAGCATGTATGAAGTCTTGGGCTCAATTCCCAGGATCACAAACCCAACCAACCAAGCCGCACACTCAGAAAATAAAACACATTGTTTGAGAGAGAAATCACCACATGGCCCAGCAGTTCCATTTCTGGTATTTAAAAAAATTGGACGCAAGGACTCAAACAAGTATTTGTAATCCCATACTCATAGCATTATGGACGACAGCCAAAAGGTGGAAACAACCTAGTCCACCCACAGATGAATGGATACATAAAATGTTCTTCCAAAAGAATGTAATTTTGCCATAAAAAGAAATTAATTTCTGACATGTATTATAATATGGATGAACCTTGAAGACATTAAACTAAGTGAAATAAGCCAGATATAAAAGAACACTTATATAACGTATCTACAGAATTCAAATTCATGGAAAAGGCACACAGTTACAAGGGCAAGAAGAGGGAGGAGTGGGGAGTTACTATTTAACAGGTACAAAGTTTCAGTTTGAGAAGATGAAAAAGTACATGCATTAGACAGTGATGAAGGTGTGAAGGTACTTAATGTCACTAATCTGCACACCTAAAAATGACTAAAACAGTAAATTGTTTTTATGTAACTCACCACAACTAAAAAATGTGGTACAATTTTAAAAGTTTTCAGTTCCAGGCTTAAAATGTTCAAAAATGTAAGCTCAGGCTCTATAAAAACTCAGTGGGTTTAAGGAACTACTCAATCTTGTGAAAATTCCAACTTACCATCTAGGAAATACCCCATTTTCCAAACTTGTGGTCTGGCTGCGTCGCCAACGTCGCTGGTAACTGCTGGCACAACTTCGGGTAAGTGAAGAGTTTGGGGAAGGAAACGGGGTAATAAGCAAGCTGCTGAGAGATGCTGTTAAGTTAGAAGAACAGTATATATGTAAGTCAATAGTGACTACAGATAATGACAAATTTCTTTTTAAAAAATGTTATGAATACAGGAACCTAACAACCTCAATAAATGAAAACACTCTATGTCATCATCCAGGCATGGTGGCGCATGTCTGTAATCCCAGCGTACCTGCATCCTTAGCACTCGGGAGGCTGAGACAGGAGAACCACTGCAAGTTAGAGGCCACGCTGGGCTACAAAGTGAGTTCAGAGCCTGCCTAAACTACAAAGGGTCTCATAAACTACAAGAGCTAGTCATGAACTACAAACTGTCTCATAAAACAAACAAAAACCACTTTATGCCATAACATGAGCTAAGACAAATAATATCAACAAGTATGAGAAAAGGGATAGGGGAATGGCAGGAGGGGAAGGGAAAGGAAAAGGGATTAAAAGAAAAAGAACCAGGCTGTACTATGTACATGTAACTACTCCCAAGTTGACTGTGAACCTCATGAATTGCAAACATCTATGAACAAAATTTTTAAATTAGAAAAAGTGTTAAGAGTAACATGACTTGAATTTTTCTTTTTGCTTAATGAGCCTTTCCTCTAAAATTTCCATTTGAAAAATTCTTGGAGCAAGGTCTTGGAGGAAAAAGTCATATATGAATAGTGCATTGGAAAGTGGCACTGAGACAATCTTCTTTTAGTTTTCCTCCTTTAATCATGGAGAAAAGAAATGCTATTTTCCAACAAGGTATTGACTCTTCAGGTACTGCACTATAGCCCAACTTAGTACTGAGTCCCTTTATTCCTTAAAGGAAATCCAATACTGTACACACGATACAGCAGATGGATTTTCTGAAGGAAAAAAAAAAACACATACACAACTATTTTTGAAAGTAGTGAATGGCATTTATTTTATTTATTTTTTATTTTTTGGTACAGGGGATCAAACTTGGGACCTTGCGCTTGTGAGGCAGGTGGTGGAACCACTGAGCTAAAATCCCTGGCCCATGAATGGCATTTAAACAGGACAACTATAAGTTCTCACGGATCACTTACGCACACGCAGTCCAGCCAAGCACCTATTTAAAAAAGATAATGACCGACCATATTCCTAAGATATTAAAAAAAAAGTATACCCCCTATAGATTGTTCTCTGGATCACTCTGAGGCAACACACTCTAGTAGATTCTACTCTAATTACACTGCTGCAATCCCGACTATAGGGACTGATTACTCCTCCCCAAAGCCCTTCCATGAAATTTGTAAGATTTTCTGCCTAAGATGTTGGAAGCTACAAGCCTTTATTCTTCTCTGGGCTAGGGATCTTCACCTTCTCCCCCAGGGACCTAAGCTATGCTATTATTGGGCTTGCTTTTGTTTGGCAATATTAGATTTCCATTTTAATCAGGACATGATAAAAATTAAATATAAAAGTATTATAATCTATAAAAAGATACATGCCAGATAATAATAAAAACTAAGATACTGTATGAAGGTCCATTCATTTGAATTCTCAAAAATTTAATGATAGAGGGTAACACACTATGTGGGGCATTACATTTTTTATTTTGCTTTGTTTCTCATATAGAGATGCTTCTCTAGGCTAAATTCGCCTAGGGGAAAGTTCAAGCATGCGAAGAAATTTTTTGAAATTTCTCCATGCTATTATAATGCACACCTAGGGGTTACAATAAATACATGCTAAGGTTAAATTTACCATTTATACTAAAACTGGATTATAAGCAATTTAGGTAGCAGAGCCCTATATGTGACGCAACAATGTGATGTGATGTGGATAACTACAGTGAAATAAATTTACCATATCCAGTAATATTTCAAACCTAACACTGACCCTACTTTCATTTAATGCTAATCTGTAGGCCCATCAAACACTTGATTTTAGCTAAAATGCCTTTTTCTATGCCTTCACTTGAATAACTCCTATTTATTTTTCAAGATTCAATTAAAGCATCACTTCTCTGTGAAGGATGGGCGGCACACTGTTCCTTGCCTTTTCTTGAACCTTTTTGCACAGATTTATCACTGAACACATTATAAACTATAACAAGTGATTTTTCTGTTCTCCTAGAAGACTGTGCTTCTGTCCTGAAGGAGAGATTCTGGGCTTTGTTTCTTGTATGGTTTTCTTTTTTAAATACACAACATGTTTCAGTAAATGTTATTAGAAGTACAAATTTTAAAAGGGTCCATACTTGAAAGGAATATGTATAACATTGGTATATAATGCCTAAGATTTTCTGGGCAAGAAAACAATCTGAAAATTTACACTCTAGTTAGCAGCAAGATATAAACTAATGTGATTTTTCTGCTATGATTTCTAAGCAGTCTCCTGAGCAATGCTGATTTTCATATACTGGTTAAGCCTAGGAGATCAAGCATTCATTCATGCTCTACAGTGGTACCTCAGTTCACAAACTTAAGTTCTTTCCATGACTCTGGTCACAAACCACATTGGATGAGAACTAAATCAAATTCATTGGTTAGGCTTAATGCTGACCGTATGGGGGAAATCTGATTCGGTTCTTATCCACTTCAGTTTGCAACCACAACTGTGCAAAGAGCTAAACTCATGAGCCAAGTGTACTCCACTAGCCATACTTAACAGTGAATACGAAAAATGTTAAATTTTCTTTTGTTTTGTTTGTTGAGACTAGGTCTAGCTATGTATTGTAAAACAGGCTGACCTCCAACTCACTGACCCTCCTGCCTCAGCCTCCCAAATGCTAGGATTACAGGCATGTGGCATCATTCTTTTCCCAAAAACTCTGAAGAGATGTCTACTCTTTCCACAATTCCCTTATATGGCAAAAATCAAGATGAACATAGGGTAAACAGAGAATCAGATAGTAAAAGAAGGGATGAAGAGAAAATTAGTATCACCTAGCATCAGTAGCATATAAAATGCCAGTAATACATGAACTTGAAATTACCAGAACGTGCTATGCCACTGTCTCTGTCCTCATTCAGTTCTCTTCCAGGCATGTCCATTGGGTTGCTGTGAACTGCAAATGAGTACAACACTGTCAGTTACAAAATATATTCCTATTCAGGCAAATATGGCTCCTCTTAAGTAGCAAACTAAATCATGCTCATCACATTGCATTCGTTCATTTTTCAAGCATGGTGCTAACCCAACACCAAGAGCTATTACTCAGTTGAACAAGCTTTGAGATCTGAAGATTGATATATACTATGAAAATATCTATGATAAAATATTTAAAGAAGCCAGAAGTACGTAATATTCATATTTAGAAGTATATTCAATAACAGGAAGCTACAACATGCTATTAAATTAAAAAAGCAAGCAAATGAATGTTGGTTGCTGGTCTAAGCGATGGGCATATCACAATGCATTCTACTACTTGTCTATATTGAATATATAGATAAAAACATAATAAATTTTAAAATTCATAATAAAAAGTTTGAGAATTGTTTTGAATAATATACCACTTTTGTTCTTAGCAGCCGGAGGCACTGTGGGAGGCCTGAGTTCAAACTCCAACACTACCAGAGAAAAAAGTGTACACCTGGGGAACAAGGTGGCTAACACATTTTTTGCCTTTTTTTCCACTTTCCTAATTTTTTATGATAAATGTGTTGCTCATATCTCATATTTACAGGGAAAGTAAAAATTAAAAGTAAAAGCTAAACTGATACCAACCTGAGAAAAATAATCAGTATGTCTGCACACATCCTGAAAATTTACACCTGAAGCTTATAATGATAGGTTATGAGGCATGAAATTTGGAAAAATACAGAATAGAATCAGCATCCAGGATGTGTAACTATGTGTAACTCTGTAATCAATTTAATAATATAAACAATTACATATGCTTTTAATGGGACATTGTAATGGTGCTTGTTCATCTAAATCTTAGCTCCAAGAAAAATCGTGTTTATGAAATAGTGTAGATCAGAAATTTTACAATATGATAGAATATTTTCTGCAATTGGTGAACTGTGGTACAAAAGCTACTGAGCCATGGAAACAAGATAGGGTCATAATAAAATTCCAAGTATTATAAGAAATAATGGTCATAATGGTCAATAACTTTATTCTAAAGTTGAAATCATTATGACATAAAGACAAAAGAAACAAATGGAAATTTTTTTTTTTTAATTCTGATAACTCGGTTTGTGGAAACTTGAGGAACATATTCAGTAGAAAGGAATTAAGTTCTGGTATTTCCTAAGTAATGATTCTTAATTACAACCTCCCCAAGTGCATTCACCTACTTTCTTGTTTCCACAGCTTAACTACGAATTCTAGCTGCTAGGGCACACCAACTAGTCTACCCACAGAGCACATCGCAAACCTGCAAAGAAAGAGGCGCTCCTGATCAGGCGGAGCGGACCCTGCTCAGAGAACGCCCGCCTGGGGCTGCAGAACTGTGAAAGACCTACATGGTGAAAATGTAAAATACACATGAAAGAGGGCTGTTAGAGAAGCCATAATGCGTGAGGAGAAAAAAGTGAGGCAAGGTAGCACAAGAGCAGACCAACAGATATGGATGGAAACTTTTAACCTAAATAAAACGTAATTCAAATTGGCTTTCCCTTTTGAAAAAAAGTCCTTTTTAGTCATGGTTTATATAAACAACAATTTCATACCTATTTACACTTCTGTTTCACAAGGCAAAAATTATATTAAATGTCCAATCCTTTCTAATGTAAAACAATGCTTTTAAAGAAAAAAACATAGTAATGATATCGACTTAATTTGGCATGTGCCAAGTACATTTCTTTTAAAAAGTCATTTCAGATTACAATAATCTCCTATAATTGTAGTAAGGAAAACACCATCTTACTGTATGTAGCAAAAAGAACAAAGAGCAAATACAGAAAAGGATCTTACTGGAAAGTAAGCCAAAAATTGTTTTTTCTAACCTAAGTATATAAAGCTACAAAGTTATGGAAGAAATCAATGTTCCTAGACCAAGAGTCAGCCACTACATAAGCACACATCCTTAGTAATGTAGCTCATCAGGGCCAGACTCCCAAGTGTCCCCAAAAGGTGGACACACACTTGACCAAGAGAAAACCATAATAGTCTGAAGATCCAAAATGGACATTATAGCTTGGAGGCACCCAAATGGGTTGGTTACCTGTTAGATATGTTTAATTAAGACAGTCTAAATAGCCATGTAGGAGTTTTACCTAGGACTATAGGAAGCTGTTTTATTAGTGACAACTGTATTTCTCAAATTCCTAAGACACTATGTTTTTCTTTAACAAGTATTTATAGAATCATAGTGCATGTGCAGCAGTCCTTCCATGTCTTGGTGGTCAGCTCTTTCTAGTATTCCCAAGGTTTTTCAAAACTTTATCAAGCCCTTTAAATTCCTTTCTCACCCACTTCATGTTTATTTTCAGCACGACTTGTTTCTTACAATATGCATGCGCATGTGTGTGTACACACAAAAAAAATTCAAGGTGGACTCTCTCCTTCCCCTACCACTCTGCCCCCAAATTTGCTCAAATTTTCACGCATCTTTGCCTCCCGCGACTAACAGGTAACATTATTTACCTCTTTTGATGTGCTACACACATGATTAGGAATGCTGGCACAGGTGTCTTCCTACCTACCACAGCTAATTCTAAGTCAGCTAAGATCCCAAAGCCCCATTCCCCTTCAAAAACCTCTCTCTACTCTTTTTATCTCCCTTATAACTTTCCTTTTTATCAGTAAATAAACACAGTCCATTTTCTCCTCATATATCTAAAACCTACAATTCACCAGTTCTCAAATGTGTTCTGATGCCTGAGATTTCTTACAACCCCTTTAAGGGGGGATTTGTAAGGTTTTCTATTTTGTTATTACCTATCTATAAGAGGCAGAATTTTCTTGACACATTTTAATCCCATTTGCTCAACCAAATCTCTTCTCACTGCTCACTGAAATTAGAATATTTTTTGCACTTACAAACTGTATCTGATCACGCTGTTGTATCTTAAAAGTCATCCTGTAGTGGCCTTGAGAATGTACCTGACTACAAGAAATACAATTGTCCAAGAAAGAACCCAAGGGCTTGCGTTCTGAAATCCATCATCACATTTGCAAGGATACATAGCCAGAAGGTTGCTCTAAACCAGTGATGGCAAACCTTTTAGACACAATTGTTCAAACTGCAAATCAAAACTCACTTATTTACCACAAACTGCCAACACTACACTTAAACCTGAATGTTGAGCTTTTACTTAAAAAAAAAAAATTCATATATTAACATCTTTTGTCTTAAAAGAAAAACAACATGCATGCCATAGGTTCACCACCACTGCTCTAAGAGAATGACTAAACTCTGCAGGCATACACTAGGCCCATTTTTTAGGAGACTGACAACCAAATCTAACTCAGAGACTTCCTAATAGCCTTGCTGTATCTTCCTTCCTTGAACTGTATTGGCAAGCTGGGATCTTTTCAGTCAATAAACTTCTATCCCTCTCTCCTTCACTCAAGGTCAGTTTCACAACTGAATCTATGGCTTGCTCAGCCTTTCCAGGTCTCTCATTTTCTTTCTCATAGTCATTTCCCCCAGTAACAGCCTTGCAAGTTTAACCTGTTAAAAAACAAAACAAAACAAAGAAACACAGGTAACAATGTAAACTAGCATGCTTGAGGCCTTGGGTTCAATAGCCAGGATTTTAATTAAGTGTGCTGCACATTGAAAATATTGAATTATAAAGAAAAAAGATCTAGTTATTTCATTTATTCATTAAAATTTTCAGTTTATAACAAAATCAATAATCATGTCTAACATTATTATTAAATCCATATAGGTGCTTAATAGTTCATTTATTAAACTAGAATTATTGAAACTAAAATTTATTGAGCAAAAATCTTACACTGATCAAAAAAAGAAAATTTTTTCTATTAATAAATATAAAAGTGTATCTATTAAATTAAGTACAAAATAAAGAATAAAAGAAGTATTCATACTATCAAAATGTTTCCATTCCCTGAATTATCAGTATTGGATATATGGTTAGCAGCAATTTAGTTGAGCTTTCTAGGACAAATGACCAGAAATTTCAGAAATAGTTTGTCATTTTAAAATGCTTAACTTACATAACAGTAATAGTAGTAGCTAACCAAATTACAAAATAATTCTAATAAATCTTTTAAGGAACATCAAATTTGAGTATTTGGTCATATAAATTACAGGTCACAAAAACAAGTATCATTTTAAAATGACTTTTATGGTTAAGGAAGAGAGAAGAAATAAGGTGCAGCATTAGTCTTCCTCAGCTAGAATATCTGACAGCTAATAAGGGCTTCTCGTGTCAATGACAGCTCCTTTCAAAGATGCATCAGAAGCCTGGGGATGTAGCTGAGTGGTGCCCTCGCCTGCCTGGCAAGGGCAAAGTCCTGAGTTCAATCCCCAGTTTAGGGCAGGGGTGAGGGGAGTTATGCAACATTTAAAATTTTACAAATAAATATATTTAGCAGTGGGGCCAGGGATTTAGCTCAGTGGTTCCACCATCTGCCTTGCAAGTGCAGTGTTCGATCTCCCGTACCAAAAATAAAAAATAAATATATAGAGAGAGAGAGTGAGAGAGAAAAAGAGAGAGATAAATATATATAGATATATATATATCTAGCAGTGCTCTTTTTCAGATACAAAATATAGGTTCTAACATAAGAAAAATATGTTTTCCAAATAATATAAATGCATTTACCACTTACATTATTTAAAATTCTTTGGCCATCTATAAGAGATCTACATGATTAAGAAATAAATTAAATTTCTGTTAAACATAAAATCAAGAGAACGAGGGCCAGGGATTTAGCTCAGCAGTGCTGTGCCTACCTCATAAGTGCAAGGTCCCGAGTTCAATCCCCAGTACCAGGGTGAAGGGGTGGGGTGCGATATTAAAATCAAGAGAACCATTTACCTATATTTCCAAGCAGTCCATTAATAACTGTGTTATTATCGGCCTTTAATGTACTGTTGTCCTGGTTGATGAATTCAAGACTGTCTTGCAGTCTATGGAAAAAAGAAAAAAAACTTTTCAAATTCATTATATGCTTTAATAGCAACTCTACACATCTCAATGATTTTTAAGGGTAAAACACTTTATAAGTTTTGTTTCCCTTTTAGCACTATAATATATATGATAACTAATCTTTCAAACAGAGATTGGCAAACTAAGCTTAAGGGCCAAATTCATTCTGTCCTCTCTTTCGGGTAAATATAACGTTACAGGAACACAGCCACACCCATTTATTTATGTGTTGTTTATGGTTACTTTAATGCTACAATAGTAGGATTGAGAAATACCGGCACAAGTAGTTCATAAAGTGAAAAATATTTACTATTTGGCCCTTTACAGAAAAAAACTGCTGACTCTGATTTACATTTGAAAATATGTCCTAAACATCTGAGAGGGCTGGGGAAGAAAAGAAGAGAAAGAAGGTGCAGGCAGAGGTACAAGAGGAGGTGGAGCAAAGGCAGCAATTAAATAACCAAAACTGTCTTCAGTCCACATTAAAAATGGCCTATACTCTTTTAGTAAATCCTTCAGAACACCAAAAACAAAATTACTTTATCTTTTAGTTCAAAGTATCCTTTCTATAAATTCTAGGAATTATCATTTAAAACATAGAAAAGATGAAATAACTGAGGTGATTTAAAGCTAAAATCAGCAGGGCACACTGTCACATGCCTGTAATTTCAGCGCTCAGGGAGGCTGAGGCAGGAGGATTCCAAGTTCAAATCCCTGCCTGGACAATTTATCAAGACCTTGGAGGAGGAGACAAGAGGGGAGAGGGAAAGTAGGGGAGGGGGAAAAAGAAAAAGAACAGGAAAAGCAAAGAAATGAAATGAAACAAAACAAAAGGGGGTGAGGACATGGCTAAGTACTACAGTGTCCTGCCTCAATCTCCTACTAAGAGAGGAAAAAGAAAGCTAATATCAGTGTTATGTAATTTCTACTTTAGTATTAAACTTAAAAATCAACATTTTTTGCATTAAGGTTTATTTAAAGTAGTCACAATATTTTGAAGAATAGCCCCCCTTTTCTTGCTTTCTGAAAGAAAAGTAAAAGAGAGCTATAGATATTAGAAACTTAGCTAATGAAACTACTCAAACCACAAGTCTTTTAAAGTCATTTACAACAAATGAAAGCTCAAGAAAACCTAGAGCCAGTTTCTTGCTGCTTCCTGCTTCTTGTGACTTTGTATTACCCCTGGGACTTGAGCTAGCCAGGGAGCCCCATTGTTATTTGGCACCTACAAAAACTGCCTCTGGCATCTGCTACCACCTGATTCTATACTTCATTTACTTGTTTCTGGAACAAGTCCCATTATCCTGACTCCATTCTTAACTTTGTTTCAGCTTCACTATTCTAATCTTGACATTACCAGCTTACAATATTGCTGGGGCTATTGTTATATATGATACCGTAGACTATGTATAATAGCCATATAAATAACCCGTCACTACTGTCTGCAGAAGACCGGAAAACTGAAGAGCAAAGGCACAAAATTGCAAAACTGAAAATCAGCATGTTTACCAAAGAGGGAAATATACTCAACATTTTGCTTCTAGATACTCTTTCTAGCAAATTATAGAAACAGAAACTACAACTCAAGTGAGGAGGATGCAATCTAGCCTCCACAAATGTCCAAGCTTGGAGAAGATAGAAAATGTATGAGCTGTAATTCAAAAAGCATTTTAAAAGATTTTCATTCCCAGTACCTTTAAATAATCAATCTCCTTCTACAGCCATAAGCACTTACGTATTAAGACTTCCACAGATGCTGCTGCCAGTCCTTGCAGTAAAGACTTTGCTGAGCATGAGCTGTGGAGGGGAACTATGAAAAAAATACACAGTCAGAAACACAGCAAAACTAAAACTCAATGAATGGCTTTATACTGATTTACCGTAAATAAAAACTTGTAAGTCACATTGATCTCATAACATAGTCCCAAAGCCATGAGGTCTCACTGAGGCCATGAAACATAAACTTAGTGACAAGCTCAATGTGAGTGCCGAATTCTAAGTGATGAAATCTCTCATCTTCAAAAACACTATCTAAAATTAGATACACTTTTTAAAAAAATCAGAAACCCCCTCACCGGATCTGATGAATTTTTAAGGTGGATCCTTTGTAGCTCATGGCTACTGAGCCAAACATCATCTCTCCAAGCATATTGGCATCAGAAGAGCACCGAGAACCCTGGACGATAAACAAAATATTAGTAAAATTGTAGAATTTAAAACTGTGACTATTCAAATCATGATTTTTATCTTCTAAATACCTGTTATAGTTGTTCTATGCTGAAGGTTTTAATTGTACATGTATATATTATTCTGCAACTTGACTTTCCTCATTTCATATCTTATACATCCACCTATATCATTAAATAAAGATTTAACTCATTTCCTTTAAAAGCCACACAGCATTTTACTACAGGTGAATACCACAATCTATCAGGCTAGTTCCCTTAAATGATGGCCACTTAGGTCATTCCCAGATTTTTGCTACTACAAATAATTCTCAAATCACCATTTGTAAACCATGTCTTATGCATATGAAACATTTCTCCAGCTGGGCTGGTGGCACATGCCTGTAATCACAGAAGTTAGAAGGAAGGCCTAGACAAGAAGATTGCTGTGAGTTTGAGGCCAACCTAGACTACACAGTGAGTTCAAGGTTAACATGAATTACACAGTGAGGTCTCATCTAAAAAAAAAAATTCTCCAGGAGATCAAAGTATAATTCACTGAACAGGTAAAATAATTTTCACTCTTTCTGTTATGCAGAAAAGCATCCACAAATGAGGCAGCTTATATCTGTTTTTTTCAAACTCATCTGTGATCTACAGATTCAATGCAATCCCTACCAAAATCCTAATGATACGTTTTACAAATATAGAAAAAAATATCCTAAAATTCATCAGGATCCATAAAAGCCCACGAATAGCCAAACAATCTTGACATGGAACAAAATTAGAAGCATCACATTTTCAGATTTCAAACAAAGTGACAGTTATCTAAACACTATAGTACTGGCATACAGACAGACATACAGAACAGTGAAAAACAGTGACCCAGAAATAAATCCACACCTATGCAATTTATTTTCAACAAAGGTGTCAACACTATACAACAGGGGCCAGGGATTTAGCTCAGTGGTTCCTCCACCTGCCTCACAAGTGCAAGGACCTGAGTTCGATCCCCGATACCAAAACAAAATAAAAAGATAAAGACTATGCAGCAGGAAAAGGATAATCTTTTAAAGAAATGCTGCTGGGATAACTGTATATTCATATGCAAAAGAATAAAACCGGACCCTTCCATCTAAACAAAAATCAGCTTACACTGAATTAAATAGTTAAACATTAGATCACAGAAGAAAAGCTTTGACATTAAATCTTGGCAATGATTTCATGGATATGATACCATAAGCAAAGGCAAGAAAAGCAAAAGTAGGCAAGTGGGATGACACTGAACTAAAAAGTTTTGCACAGCAAAGGAAACAAGAGCGTGAGAATGCAACCTATGGAGTGAGAGAAAATTTTTATAAATATCTGTTAAGAAGTCAGTCGCCAAAATATACAAGGAATTCATACAACATTACAGTTAAAAATAAATAACCCAATTTAAGAAAAGGATAAAGACTTGAATAGACATTTCTCTAAACAAGACATACCATTAACTATCAGTTAAATATTTAAAATGTTCAACATTTCTAATTATCAGGGAGATGAAGTCAACACCACAATGAGAGGTAATAATTCACACATGTCAGGTTGGGTATGACAAAAAATACAGAAAGATAACAAGTGTAGGTAGGCAAGGATGTAAAGAACCTGGAACATCCTTCTGCATCCTTCTGGTGGGAATGCAAGATGTTGTAGCTGGTCTAGAAAACAGTATAGCAATTCCTCAAAAAATTAAACACACAACCATGTCATCCAGAAATCCCATTTGAGTATTTATCCAGAAAAATTTAAATCAGGATATTACCACTCTCATGTTCATTGCAGAACTATTCACAATAACCAAGATGTGTCAGTAAAGTGAAATGTTCATCAATAGATGATTGGACAAAGAAAATGTGGTATATACCTATAAAGGAATATTCCTTCCAAAAAAGAAAACAAAGTTCTTCAATAAGCAACAACGTAGATGAATTTTAAGGAGAGCATGCTACATAAAATGAGCTAGTCACAGTCAACTTCACAGAATTAAAGAGTGGAATGGTGGCTACCAGGGGTTGAAGAGAGGGGGAAATCAATTATTAAACGATTATTTAAAGCATTAAATTTCAGTCAAATTTGAGTAAGCTGTAGAGATGCACCATACAAAACTTGTAATTAGTTATCAATAACATACACTCAGAAATTTAAGAGGGTAGATCTTATACTGTGTTTCCAACACAACTTTTCTTTAAAAAAAAAAAAAAAATTGAAGCAGTAGAATGTCTTATTTCAAAGAACTCAATCAAAAGCTATTTTCTTCTTTTTGATTCTTAAATTGTCCTCAAAGGAGTCAGAAAACAGTGAAAATGTGAATTAACCAATTTCATTACTATTTATAAACCATGACAAATAACTATTCTATCTATTCTTTACTTAATTTTTTTGAAATCCAATTTGTTTCAAGGGCATCAACATGTCCAACCGAAAAGATTGCATTTCACAAACCCAACTTGAAAATAGGAAATGTAAAATGATTTCTGCTGGGGCTGGGGATTTAGCTCAGTGGTTCCAGCACCTGCATTGCAAATGCAAGGACCTGAGTTCAATCCCCAGTAC